TATATATATATATATATATATATATATATATGACATTTCCCTGCTCTGTTACCTTTTCGCTTAACAGCTCCCAGCAACAGCAGCTTCTTACAAAAACAATACGTTCCTTGCTCCAGCAATTCCAGCCTTGGGAGCAATGCACTCGGACAAGGTCAGGACTACATCAGAGCTTTATTTGCTGACTCCAAGAAGGCCGCTTCAGAACCAGAGGAGAAGGCAGGAAGGCCGCATGTGCCTCACGAATACTACAACTCTTCGGCATCCAGGTATTACTACGAGGTGGTGGTGCGATGGTCCCATTCAGAGACCCAAGGAAGTGCATTTAGCTCAGGCACAGCAGTCCGACTGCATTGCAGGGAAAAAATTGAATACTAGTGGGTAGGGCTGAACTGCAGGGATGGAGGTCCAAGCACACTTATTTTCTGCAAAATACATAACTCATAGTAGATCATCAGGTAATTGCCTGCACCAGCCTGTGGAGCTTGGAAAACAATTCTCTCTTCCCATCTCCAGAAGCTTCTCTGCCCCATGTACACTCTTCCTTTCCTTTCCTTTCCTTTCCTTTCCTTTCCTTTCCTTTCCTTTCCTTGTTAACAGGCATGGCCCTGCAAGCAGCGGCTGACACCAACAGAAGAGAAAAGAAAGATGGGATGTGTTTGGGGTTGCGGGCGAGTTGGCAAGCTAGCAGGCAGAGACTGGAGGAGGGCTCTGTGGATGGCTGGGGAAAATACTCTGAGATTTGCTCCTGGTTGGCTTCTGAGTTTGGCTTGGGCAAATCTTGCCAGCCTCTCTGCTGAAAGGCAGTCAATGCCAGTGCATTTCAAGCACCACTCCTGTCCTGCCAGACTCTGCTCTGATCTGCCTGTGACCTTTGAAAGAATCATCTACTATCTGTTTAGCACCATTGCTGCACATGTTGCTTTACAGTGTGACCTAAGCAAGCAAGCAAACACAGGTTCCTGCTCCAAGGAGCTTGCAGACTAAATTCTGGTGGTGGTAGAGACACCAGAAGGAAGACAGGAAAGGGAGGGACAAAGGCAATGTGGAATGAATGTGAGGAAATTCAATTGCAAGGATAAAGATGAGAAAATAAAATTATATGGATCTAGGTTGATTTCAGGTGGGAACTAGTGCTATTCATCATGTCAGAATCTGTTCTGACTCATTTTTGCTCTACTAGCTTCTACTTTGGTTCCCTTTTCCCTGGTTCTGCTATTAAATATGAGCTAACCGTAAATCCGTATATGACTGTGTCACAGGAGAGAAAGGCTAAATAGGTGGCATAGAAGTACAGTAACAAACTTCAAACAGATCGATAAATAATTTCTGCTAGGATTGATCTCATGTCCCTCCATGTACCTTAAACATTTCCCATATACATTTTCCCATCTGATCAAGAGAAAAAGCTCATGTTTAAGCTGCCACTGGAATATCATGATATGAAGAAATGTGGACAGCTAGCAGGCAAACCCAACTCAGCAGGCAGAGCTGTTATGTGTGGTTCATCAAACTAATATCCTTGTTTACACTCCTCTTTCTTCTTTATTTATACTGGGTATTTTACAGCTTCTAGATTCTATGCTAGTCAGTGGAAGGTGTCGGGCCGATTTAGTACAAGGCTTGCAGTTGTTGTTTGTCCAACCTGCCAGCACTGAGTCGCACACTTGCATGCGCCTCCAGATTAACCAGTACTATGTGCATCCAGCAGACACAATGTGATTTGCAGGTACAAGAAGTGCTGAATCGGCAGATCTAAAAAACTGAAACTATCCCCCTGTCTGTTCACCCCGCACATCCCCTGACTCAAGCAGCATTTGCGGGGCAGTGCCTGAAAGATTTGAATTTTAGTTCCACTCCACAATCAGCAACAGGAAAGAAAGTTTTGTTGGGTGCTGTTGTCAATGGCATGGATGAAGTGAGATTTAACTGTGGCATCCCACAGGGATGATTATATTACAGCTCTCTGACTAGCCAGTTAAATTAAGTGAAATTAATTGAATCGGTTCGTTGCAATGCCTGTTGCTGAAATGTCTTGCCCTATTTTCTGTGCTAATCATGTCCGGGGGATTTGGGTTGAGACTTTTTTCTGGAGCAAAGCAGGCTTTGCCTTTCTCATTTTTGATGGATGAAAGATACTTCAAATCAGAACCAATCTCCAGTTTAAAAAGTTCTTTCTAAAAAAAAATCACATTGTATCCTTTTCTCTAAGAATAGGAACAGTGCAGCAGTTTTAGACTGAATATATAGTCATAATTCTATTTCTGAAAAGTGTACCGCCTGGCTGGAAATAGAGAAGGTAAGTGTGACTAAACAGTACAAGAGGGACAAGGCAGCCAGATTCTCCCTACATTTTGGCATGATGGCCTGGTTTGCATGGCGCAACAACCTGCCATAAGTAAGTAGGCATGGTTGGCTGTCATATCATCTGAACACAGCATGGCTTACACAGGGTGGCTTGGTTTTTTCCAACAAGCCACCTGAGAAATGGGTGTTGTGGGAACTGCTTTACCCATGGTGAGTTGTTGTGTCATCTGAATCCAGATAAACAATCCCACTGCAAGTAGAGTTCAATGGCAAGCAAGGTGTGAGTTGAGAGAGGCAAAAAAATCCTTTAGTAGTCTTGGTGTTCTTGTCTGGGTCACCACTAGAATGGCGCATCTGAGTTGCCTCCACTGCTCAGCCATCTCTTTCTTTTACAAAAATGTTGCACCACAAATGTATACAGTGTTTTTCAGTAAGTATAAGTTGCATTTGCTCAGATCTGAGAAAGGGAAGAGTATCACAAGAGAATCTTACCAGGAAAGTTATAAATTCCACTTGTCCCTTTTCATGAGCAAAGATCACTGACATTGTTGTTTTCTCTTGACAGCTAACACTTTGACAGCTGTCGGGGAAGCAAAGGGAGGGGGAAAGGCTAATTGGACTCTTTCTGGGTCAGTCTCCAGGGTTGGTAGGTTTTGTTTTATAATGCAGCAAAGGCTTTCCTTTTGGGACCTGCACAAATACAGACTTTCATACTTGCACAAGTCTGACTATAAAATAAAAAGTTGGAGGATGTGCACATTGAGAACACAGGTAAATTAAACTGGAAAGCCAGTGCAGTATGGTGGTTAGAGTGTTGGACTGGGGACTCAGGAGATCAAGGTTCAGCCATGAAGCTAACTGACTTCAGGCCTGCCACAGATATGCCTAACCTACCTCACAGGGTTACTGTTGTGAGGATAAAATGGAGCTGTGTAATCCACTTTGGGTTCCTCACAGGAGGAAAAAAGGTGGCATATGTGGTGATGGTGATGAAGAGGAGGAGGAGAGAGGAGGGGGAGGGGAGGGGGAGGGGAAGAAGACGACAACAACAGGATGGCTAGTCATGGACGGCCTCCCTTCAAAGTCAGTCACAACACTTTAAAGAGACTGTCATGGGCTGTCAAATTGAGGACCATAAAAGGCAATCTGTAAAAAAAAGTGGGGGAGGAAAGAAACCACAGTGAAGCAAAAATGACATTTTCCCCATAGCGAGGATAACTATGGGGATAACTTGGCCTGCTGCAGTGTCCCCTGGAAAGACTAATGTGGAGGGAGGAGGACAGCAACCCAGCTCAAGCTCCATAGACTGTTGTATGTACCCTGGGTTGTGGCTTCTTGCCCACGTGGCTTAGTGTGACTTGTACACTCACCCATTGTGTAAATTGCATTATGCTTTTCATGGAAAGATTTACCGGTCCCTTGTCTCAAAAGTAACACAAGCAGTCATTAGTTCTGTTAACTGTATGAGGCAGGAAAATAATGCAGCCATCAGTTTCTTTTATATGTGCTTGGCAGTTTAATTCTCATTTGTTGTTGTAAGCTGCTTTTAGCTGCAAAGGCAGTGATGAAGCACCCAGAAATGGCCTATGTTGAAGATCAGTGTACATGTGAAGTGACTGTTTCTGCTTCTCCCTTGCCACGCCATGGGTTTGACTTACCATTGCACTTACCAAGCTGTGTGCGGGAATTCTTTCAGCTTTTCTTGACTGCACCAGAGTTGTGAAAGGGCATCCACATTTCCCCAAGCTTCTTCCTTCTCTAGGTATCATTGCCCAGCTTCTTTTCCAATTGCCATCTGCTGCAGCATGTGAGACAAGTTTGGCCTACTCTGGGTGGAAGAAGGGGTTGGAGGGGGCAACAGGAATAGGTAGAGGAGAACAGCAATTTTTTGAGTGAGCTTAAATTCTCTGATAAGCACTCGAAGCACATTTTTCAGCCTTTTTTAAGCTCATTCAAAACAGGAAAGTATATATTTATGCCCATATTTTTTGCAAAAGTGCACACTTTCTCTCATCTACTAAGATGTGAAAAGGGATATTTTGAAGAAAATGTGCACTTCAAGGTATGAATTGTAGAAAAAAATGCTTTTGAGCATGATCACAGATTTGGGAATTTGAGGACATTTCTTGGAAAAAAGAACTTCTGATCACGTTTATATTGAAGTATGCAAATGGAACATGTTTACATGATTTGTAACAGAAATTAAATGCTCATGCAACTCTAAAAAAGAGGTGGGATGGGATGGGGCAGGAGAAGCTTGCACCTCTAGCTGGTGTGGCTGCATGAATTTCAAGCGACAGCAACTTGAATGACTTTCATGTGGCCTCAGGACCATCAGTGATGCCACTTTCAGGTTTTGCTTGCTTCTTCAGCAATGCAAACTTCAAAAAAACTTTCTCCCCTCTTTGCAAATAGATCTTAGTTGGATTGTGTCCATGGAAGGAAAAACACAGTCACTGAGTTTTCCTTCCGAAGATTTTCAAGCACCTTCTCATCTGGTGGGAGTATGCAAGAAAGCAGCATGTGATGATTTGCTGCCCAAGCATAAGAGTACCTCTCAGTGCCCCGCAAGTGTAAGAACTGCTCATTCAGTCTGATTTCATGATTCTCACAGTACTGTGGATCAAACTGGCCCATGATGTCATCCACAGAGATACAAACTAAAAAGAAGCAACCTCTCCATATTTGAGGGCGGAGTATGTGCCAGTCTCAACTTAGCTGCTGCAAGTGTTTAATACCATGCTTGTGCTTTCAAGTTATCATTAGGCGTAGGTATTCCAGCAAAGGTGTAGGTATACCATGCAAGATTCCAATAGACAGTCAACATAAACCAATGAATTAAGTCTTGTGCTGCATTGGATTGGAGGTAGAATGGCTGCATTTCTTTAGCTTTCACTGGTTGTCTGGTACATCTTGTAACAATGATTAATGCCTAGTGTTATATGAGAAAGAAGAGCCCTGCCAACTGAGTTGCCTTACATAAATAAATGTCCAGCGATAAGTCTGCTTCCGTTTAGTGTCTGCAATTGGTTGTCTCCATTCTCCCCAGCAGTCCCTCTGCTCCTTGAAAATCATATCTGATCCTTTATTTTGCTTCTACTCAGTATTCTGACTGAGTACATTAGTAATTATTTTAATGCATTTTGATCTGAGAGTGAATGTGGTATAGTAGTTAGAATGCTGGACTCTGGGACTGGGCTAACCCTGTTCTCTTCTGTTCTTATTCTTAGTGCTGTTGGGAACCTTAAAATTGTTGAAGTTCATCCAGGTGGTCATTATGTGAAGATACTTAACAGCTCTGCTGATAAAGAAGAGGGCATTGGAGACTATACACTGCAGCAGAATATTTATGGGCATCCAATAGCGATCTTCAGATTCCCCCCGAAGATCCGAATGAAGGCTAATTCTTCAGTAACAGTGAGTGAAATAAAAAGAATTCCTCCAGTTCTGTTTGTATCACACACTAGTCCCCAGAGAAACAAACACATCAAAGCTTGACAGCCTTGTTTATACTGGAAATTGAGGTGACTTCTTCAGAAGTTTGCACCAGTCCTCCCTGGAATCTGACCCTCTGCTATCCACTAGACTTCATCTCATGCTCAGCCCTGCTTAGGACATGAGTTGAGATGAGAGAAAGTCTGTAAACACTCCTGGAAGTCCAGTCGCACAACCAACCATCTTTACCACAGGGGGTGCAGTTTAAACAAAGGCTGCAAATCACATGCATGGAAGAGGGATGCCACTTATGCAGGGTTCACATGGGCTTGCTTCCTGGTGGTACCCATGTGGATGCTTGAGATGCTGGCCAGGAATTCAGACTCATGGCTGCAAGAGAGCAGACTGGAGTTGGGGAAGCTGAGCCCAGGGAATCCAATGGATTCCCACTCTCAGAATGAATTCACTACACATCCCACATGTTACATTTGATTTCTATAAAAAGCCCTTCTAGACTTTGCTACCCATTGATGGAGTTCATATATGTTCTGCAGCCAACTGGAGAAAAGGTTCCAGAGGCAAAAATTGGTTTCCAAACAGTTCTGAAGGTATTAGAATGTTAGCTTCTTATCAAAACAATAATTTTTGTGTCTTAAGTGCATGTTGGAGAAAAATATATTGGATGTAGAAATTAAAAGTAGCAATATTCATCTGGACTTAGTCCCAAACTGCTCATTGTATGCCAATGCTTATAACTACAGCCTAATGCAGATTTATCCAACCTGTTTCCCTCTAGATGTTTGGACAAAATCCCCCACCATGGGTGGCTGGGCATGCTGAAGCTTGTAGTCCAACTCTAAGAATGGAGTTGGAGGGGAAGTCCTGTAAATCAGGGAGTGGGTTTGCTGTGAAGTGATTTTACAGTGTCTCACTTCTACTTGTTTCGTGTCTGCAGGTGTGGGCTATGAATTCTAAAATGCCTCATAAGCCACCCACAGACTATCTCTGGAAGGACATGGACAAGTTTAAGCCAGGCCCAGAGTGTACCACCATCCTCTGCAATCCTGGTGGGCAGGTAATCGTTCTGATTGTTCCCTCCCAGTTGTAACGCAGTAAGTTAGAATTGCCTCTGGTTTGATGTACTTAAATTAGGCCGTATTGCAGCAGATCTTAAGTATGGGCCAGGTATATTGTTCACACCCTTACTCCCAACTTGGTATGCACAATGAGACAATGGAAGTCCACATGATTTGGCAAAAGGGATATGAACAGGGCAGCCCCAGAATGCATGGAATACTATGTGTGGTCAGGTCATATATCACTTTGTGTTCTATACAGGTACCAAGAATTAATTGTGCATTGCAATCTCCAGCACAAACCAGCCTACCTTCCCTCTCTTCTTCTAGTCTCAGGACTCATTCCAATGGGGATGCTCATAACTCTCTGAACTCAGAGGATTATGGGCATCCTATGACTGAACAAAGAACCATGAAGGTGAAGCTTATCTCTGCACTTCTGTTTTTTAAAGTTTTATTAAAGTTTTAAGCTAATACTAAAAACATCAAACATCACATACATCGGATTTACTGGGTCAACCCCCTACTACATATTTTTTAACATTCTATAGTCAAATTCAAATCAGTTTATAGTAACTTGAAAACATCTCTAAATTTACACCAAGTCCCGTTTCTCCAGCCAATTATAAAAAAAATACCAAGTTTGACAGAAGTCAGTATCCTCTTTCTCCTTCATTGATAAAGTCAGTCTATCCATTTCTGCGCAGTCCACGATCTTTCTTAAAATCAGTTCATCGGTGGGCAGCTCCTCACTTTTCCAATATTGAGCAAATGCAATCCTCTCCGCTGTGATTAGGTGTAGCATCAAATACATTTCCTGTCTGTTAATGTCTTCCGGTATGATGCCTAACAAGAAAACTTCAGGTTTAAAAGCAAAGGGTTTTTGTAGTATTTCCTCCATCCATTTATGTATTTTAATCCAATAGTTTTTCGCATTATCACAAGTCCACCACATAGGATAAAAAGTACCCACTTTATGTTTACATTTCCAACATCTTCATCTCTGCACTACTGCTCTGCAAAGCAGCTAGATGGTTAGTTCCAAACCTCTAAGAGCAGTTCTTCAGAGGTGGAAGGAAGGATGCTGAGGCACCACAAGGATTCCTCCCTGCCCCAGGTTATAGTACTCCCCTAAGCACCTATATTCTGAGGTTCTTCCAGCCTTAGAGACACAGCTGGCCTGATTCTTTCCACTTCATCTGCAAAGGGTGGGAGAAGATGCTCCAAGAACAGGGTCCCAGCTCCAGTGTCCAAGCAGTTGGCTACCATCAGAGCAGAGACTCTGCAATTCCGGTGCCCCACCAGATGCTCTCTAGGGACAATAAGATTGCTGTCTTAGTCAAGCATCAATGAACAAAGCACTCTCTGGATTCTTGGGCTCATAATTTTGGACTCATTTTCCACAACTGCCTGAACTGTTGAAACTTGTGGAGCCTTTATACCTGTGGAATTCAAACTAAAATAACCCAACCAGATGTTTTATCTGCACTATGGTTTTATTTATTTATTTAAAAAATTTCTATGCCGCCCCATTCGCCGAAGCCTCGGGGCGGCTCACAAATATATCGATTAAAATACTATACAATAAAAATAAAAACAAGTTAACAATATAAAATAAGTCACCCTGGTCAAAGAATAAAATAAATAAATAGTATTAACAGTTAAAATGACGTTTGAATAAAAAGTTGAATAAAAAGCCTGGCGCCGAAAAACAAATAACAACGGCACCAGGCGGACCTCTCTGGGGAGCGCATTCCATAGATTGGGCGCCACCACAGAGAAAGCCCTCCTCCAAGTACTTACCCTCCTAATTTCCTTCACGGAGGGTTCCCGGAGAAGGGCCTCTCCCGCAGATCTCGGGGTGGGCGGGCATATATGGACGTAAGCACTCCTTCAGGTAACCAGGACCCAAGCCGTTTAGGGCTTTATAGGTCATCACCAACACCTTGAATTGGGCCCGGACTTCAATGGGAAGCCAGTGAAGCTGACGGAGGACTGGAGTCATGTGAACATAACGCCCAGTCCCCGTCAGCAGCCTGGCAGCTCTGTTTTGAACCAATTGAAGTATCCGGACCGTCTTCAAGGGTAGCCCCATGTAGAGCGCATTACAGAAGTCAAGGCGGGAAGTCACCAGCGCATGTGTCACTGTCGCCAAGCAGTCGTACTCCAGGTAGGGGCGCAGCTGATGGATTGGCCGAAGCTGAAGGAAAGTGCTCCTTGCCACTGCTGTCACCTGAGCTTCCCGTGAAAGCTCTGGGCCGAGGAGCACTCCCAAGCTGTGGACCTTGTCCCTAAGAGGGAGTGCAACCCCATTCAGGACTAGGTTCAATTCACCCTCTCCGAAGCCCGATCCGCCAACCAACAGGACCTCCGACTTGTCTGGATTGAGCTTCAGTTTATTGGCCCTCATCCAGCCCATTACCTCGGCCAGGCACCGGTTCAGCACAGCCACTGCCTCACCTGGATTGGTGGAAAACGAGAAGTAGAGCTGGGTATCATCAGCGTACTGATGATTCCGCAGCCCACACCTCATGACAACCTCTCCCAGCGGTTTCATGTAGATGTTAAACAGCAAAGGGGACAAAATGGACCCCTGCGGTACTCCATGGCATAGCTGCCATGGCGCAGAGCCATAGTCCCCCAGCACCACCTTCTGGAATCAGTCATTGAGATAGGAGCGGAACCACTGCAGAGCAGTGCCTCCAACCCCCAATCCCGCTAGCCTATCCAGAAGGATACCATGGTCGATGGTATCGAAAGCTGCTGAGAGGTCCAGAAGAACCAACAGGGACGCACTCCCCCTGTCCTTCTCCCTGCACAGGTCATCGTACAGGGCGACCAAGGCAGATTCAGTACCGTACCCGGGTCTGAAGCCGGACTGAAATGGGTCCAGATAATCGGTTTCATCCAAGAGTGCTTGGAGTTGTCCCGCCACCACTCGCTCTAACACCTTGCCCAGAAACGGGATGTTGGCCACTGGTCTATAATTAGTGGCCATCTCTGGATCCAGTGACGCTTTCTTCAGGACCGGTTGGACTACCACCTCCTTTAAAGGGGCAGGTACCTGACCCTCCCTCAGAGAAGCGTTAACCATTTCCAAGATCCAGATCCCAATCCCGTGCTTGGAGTTATTTATTAACCAAGATGCGCAAGGGTCCAATAGGCAAGTGGTGGGACGTACTCGTCCACATCATCAGGCCACAATAACTGAAATTCGTCCATTAATTTTGGACCAGATGGTGGCATTGGTATCTCCCCAGAAATACCAATGTTTTATAGGTTTTCTAGGTCCTCACCATTTAAGCCTTAGTCAGAATTCATGCATTTATCTCATTTATACTATGCCCTTTCTCCAAAAAGGGTGGGATTGCATATTTGGAGTTTTCAACGCATTATCCTCCTCACAACTAGGTTGACAGGAGGGCTACCCAAGCAGCAGCCCAAGTTTCCCCAGTGAGCTTCATGGCTAAACCAGCATTTAGAAAGAGATTTCCACAGTCCAAGTGCAATACCCCAGCCACTTCTCACAGTTGGCCTTTGCACTCTTTAAAAATGAAAAGCTCCAAATTCCTGAAGCTGTCAGGGAGCCCCTCCTCAGGGAAGTCTTCTCACACTGATTCACCTGCCAGTAACTTCCTGTATATATGCAATAGAACCAGTGCAGAGGGGCTGCTGTTTCCAGGGGTCTGTTAGACATGCGCTCAGTTTGTGTGAGGCACTTGCCAGGATTAATGTGCCATCACACTGCCCAAACCAAACCAAGTATGTGTTCCAGAAGGCACCCAACACTCCACTGCTTCACTTCACAGTCAGATGTGGATCATGGGGGATGCACTGCATGTCAGACGGCTTTTCTGTTTGTAATAAACTCCAGGGAAGTTTCCAAGAGTCTGTTTGCAAATGTATGCATCAAGCCTTGCCCAACCTGGTGCACTTCAGAAGTGTGGGACTTTGACTCCCATCATTTCCAATGGCCATGCTGTCTGGGAATGATGGGCATTGTAGTCCAACATATCTGAAGGGCATCAGGTTGGAAAGGGCTGCTCCATGTCAACAAATTCTTCCAGCCTTGAGCATAGCATACAACTAAATAATTTGCTATTTGTCTGAAAAAGGATTCCTTACAGGTGACCCTTTCATTCTTCCACACTTCCTGATTAGTGCATAAATTATATCAGTAGAATAAATATTTGGTCTAAATTAAGTATTTCAGAGAAGTTCTCTTACATATTTAAATTAACATTTTATCATGTGGAAACAGAGGCTGGAATCACATGTGTTTAAAAACACCAATCAGATTGCACTTATTTTTCATCCATGCTTTGAGAGAATCTGGCTGGAAAGGTAAAGTTAGGCTGTTCTGCTACCCCACAGCTTTTTAAAAAAAAAAGAATTTCTGAACATTTCTAGCAGGATGTTTTTCTGGAAAATGCTGTTTCTCCAAAAGATGTCAAAAGACAGGATCAGCTCTTGCTCTGAAGAGTGAAACGTATGCCACAAGTGGCAGATGGACAGATTTCGCTCTCGCCACCCCCAGTCTCTTGGTGCTGCCTCCAGGCTCCCCATCACTTGCTTCAGGAAAAGACGGTGCGCATCTCCTAATGCTCAGAAAGGACCCTGTAGAGTGGCAGCGTCCGCTCTTGGATGCCAGCATAGAAGCCCTTGGTGAGGCATCTCCCTGGGATTTACTGGCACTTGTGCTGGCAGGGATTGATGCTGTGGGGCCTGGGCTAGTCAGAAAGGTCCATCACTCCAGTCTGACAGCAGAAAGAAGAAACTTCTGATGCAGACAGAGAGGAGAATAGATCTGCATAGGAATCTGGGGCTAGAGGTAGCCCTCTGATGCCCCTTCCCCCAGTCTCTCCAAAAGCTTCCCTGGAGATGAGAAGCGGCATGCAATAAGCAGGAATGAGTAGTGGGGCTGGAAGGAGGTCGGCTCCAGCTGCCTGCTTCCTGTAATAATTCAGCCCTGTAAAGGGCAAAGCTGAGCAAGGCAGCTGTAGCCATTGCTGCCATGTTAATTACCTCAAATGCTCCTGCACCCTGCCTTGAGAGGCCAGAGGCACTTGGGATAGAGATGGTGGCAGCTGCAGCCACCTGGAAGGCTTCTCTTTATAGTGCTGACCATAAACTCTGCGTGTGGTGAGAATTAAAGGGAGGGCAGCATCCGCCAGGGTGGGCCCTCTGGCGGCAGAGATAGCCCACCCTCTCCAGGTCACAGGGAGATACCGTTTCCTTTTCAGCTCTAGTTGTTGCGCATCTGTTTTAAATCTGGGACGAAGAAGAGATACAAGAAAGGGAGAGACAGGAGCTGGTGGCAGGCTTCTCATATTCCCTCTCATGTCGCAGAAAGACTGGTTCTGTCCAGCTTCATCTCCACCATTTGTAGGGGATCTGCTCATTTGTTTGGATAAAAAGAAAGCAACAATGAGCTCTGGGTAGCTGCACTCTTTTTAACTTTTTGGAACAGAGGGGCTGAGCACTGCAACATTTAGTTTCCCCCTTTGCCCGGCCAGCAGATTCAGGAGGACAGGGGATATGATAGTCCTGTCAATAGCAAAGCTCTTGGTGTGCCACTGCTGCTGATCCGTAATAGAAGGATGAAGCGGATGAGAGATGGAGGGAGGGAGGTTGGGCAGGTGCAAGCCAGGGCAGACCGTGGGAATCTTTGCAGGCACTGATCCAGCTAGGACCATCTCTCCTGTCATATCACATACCCAGAGTCCAAAAGGCAATTGATGCCATGGTCTGCAGTAATTTTGAACAATCCCCCTATTTTGGTACAGGAGCCAAAAACAGTTGCTTCACTTATTAGCAGCAACTAATTCTACACCGTAAAAAAGGTTATAAAAATACTTGTAGAAGCTATAGATAATTTGGCTACCATTTCTTAATTGCCATCTTCAAGTTAGAAGGGGTTTTCTACGTGCAGCATTGAACCTCAGACTTTACTGAGGTTTCTTCACCCATTTGCTTTGCAGGAAGATTAAAGCATACCATAGTTTATAAAGAGAAAGAAAGTCTGTGGGCCATTTTCATCCTATGCCCCCCCTTAAAGGGGCCATTTTCATCTTATGGCCCCCCTTAAAGCATTACATGTATACGTGTGTCCCCATATCAATAATGAGCACTAAAAGTGTCAGATTACGCTTGCAAACAAATGAAATTTGACCCTCTGGATGCCCTGACTTACTATAAGGTACCATTTTTTGTTTAAAAAAAAAAACAAATTCCAGAATGTTCCAAATTCCAGAATGTGTTCCAGAATTCTGGGGCTACATGCAACTCACAGTCTGTGTTTTGCCCACCCCATCTTAACATGCATACTTAGTCATCTTTGCAACCTTCCAAACAGTACACAAGCATCCTCTCAGCATCCTCACAAGCATCCACTCAGCCTCACAAGGTTTTCAGCTTCTGGCAACCTAAATCTCTGCAGAAGTCAGTACAGTTCGAACCTTTTCTAATGTAGGAACAGTCTCTTCACCCGCATAACCAAGCAGGATAGTTAAAGGGTCATAAGGTAGAGAAACTCGTGCAATTATTTCTCTCTCTCCCTTCTAGGCTGTTGCTTGGTACACTCCCATTAATTGGAACCAAAAACCAAAGGAGGATGAAGGTGGCAGAATCCACAGAACCCTTATACAGCCAATTATAGGGGTCCATCAACAAAGAGACCGATGGGCAACTAGAACATTTGACAAATGGCAGGGAAATGCCAGTCAAATTTGGGCAGAGGAAAAGGAACCTGATTTCATTTTAAGGTATTGTTCTTGAATAAATTGGTTCATTGTTTCTGGAATGGTCTGCATTCAGTGCAATCCTGACCTCCATGAGGCTGCCTCTGAGGATGGAGGTGACATCTCTAAGAGGCATCTGACAGGCATAGGAGCAGAATCAGTGGTTTGGTATCTGTGCCAGAATCCAGAGAGACCTCCTGGATCCTGGATAAGAATGAATTATCCATCCACCTCTTCTGTTTAAAAGAGAGGATAGAATAATGGGGAACTGGATTGTCTGAATCTCCCAGATTTGCCCCCAGATCCCTGAAAAGCAATGCCAACAAAGAATATGGGAAGGTATCAATGCTTGCTCAGCTTCTTGGATAGTAAAGTGGGTGCTCATGATATGGCGAACTACCATTGTTCATCTTTGTCATTCTGGTACTTCAGCCATGGTGCATCGGGTCTTTAGAAACCACAAAAAGAAACAACTGTCTGTTCTGTGGCTTCTCAGTATCACCATGGCTCGTTGTGTTGTCCAAACCCAGATAACACAATTCATCATGCTACCAAGGCCAGAACCAGAGAGCAGCTTGGCAAGATTGGCCCTTTGCTGCTTTGCCAAGTGGCTGGCCAAAGAGCAGCACTGACAGCTGCCATTTTGCCCTCAGACTTCCAGAAAGAAAACTTTGTGTGAAGGATGCTCCAGTCCTTCAGTTCAGAAAATGGATTCCAGTCCAGTCCAGAAAATAGAAGCAGCAATCTCAGTAAAGTACTGGGTTAAATGCTTCAGGCAGAGAATTAAGAGTGGGGAAGGAAGTGGAACAGTCCATTTCCACCAGCCCAATTGCATGTGGCTAAATATCCAATCCAATAATGGGACAGAACAGGGGAAATCCACCCATCCTTAAGGGCCAGTGCAGGGTACAAACATCTCAGTGTACATGAACAATATATGTATATGTAAAATGTTCAAAAGTAAAATGTTTGTTTTTATTTCTGCAGAGAAGAAAAGAGACCACCCAGCCTTTGGCCTGTCCAAAATTCTTGGTGCCAAAGTCCAAGCTGCTGTACACACCCCCATTATTCCATGGAAAGATGTGTGCCCATGGGCAAGGAGGGGATGTCCACATGCAGCCAAACAAGAACACATCCAGTAAAATCTGGCCTTGACCTTGGTGAGTTAAGGAACATTACAGGAAGATGGCTCCTCTCTCTCTCTCATTCTCTCAGAGGGAGGGAGGGAGGGAGGGAGGGAGAATTTAGTGACAGTGAGGAGGAATTTAACAACAGCAATAAAAGGCAATGCTTTCTAGTGACACCTCCTTTTGCATCAGTCCTGCCAACACTTATTAGTGTGTTGGTACACGAAGTTTGCTGTTAAAAGTGTCTCTTTTTGGAAAGTTAAAACAAAACATGGAGGCTTCACTGGGAGAGATCTGTGATGTCGGCTGTGCATTGTTAATAATGCGTGTATGAAGAAACAGCTAGGATACTGTGAACATCAGGGGGATGCCAGCTGAAGATTTCGATATCTGCAGAGATATATTTTATAAGGAGATGTTGAAATTAACAGCTTGTGTGTCACAGAGCTATTTTAGGTTCAAGTAGATGAGAGCACCAGCTGGGAGGAAGCTTTGATTGCCATTGTCTCTGGAAAGACATCTCTGAGGTTGTATACAGGCATCGCTTTCTAGGGAGTAGTGGGCTTGCAGAGCTCTTGTTGCCTGAGGTCCTCTGTGAGTTCAGTTCAGCCAAACAATAAATGCTTTTAAGACCTACGCACTGATTACAATGGGAGAGTTAAGCTCTTGTATTGCTCTCTCCAACTGAGAACAATGGTACTTATGAGCATGGAAACTTATCCTGCCTTGATTTTGATTGTACTTAAGTATTAAAATGTATAAAATTGTGTCTTGCTGCAGCAACCAAGAAGACAAAACATTAGAATAGCTTTCCTCAGCTTGGTACCCTCCAGATACTTTGGACTTGGACTCCCTTCTGTCCCAGACAGCCTGGCCAATGATCAGGCAAATGTTGGGAGTTGTAGTCCAAAACCATCGGAGGGCACCAGCTTGTGGAAGGCTGCATGAATACATTGGAATGCGGGTCACCTGCAAGTCAGTGTACAGTTGACATGAAAAGGTACCCACAGGCATCCATTAGATTAATTTCAAAGCCCCCACGCTGAGGTTTTTTGTTTTGTTACCATTTCTCTGAACATACTGGATTAGCCTCAATAGAAAAGGTGTCAGTATGGGGAAAATTCTACTACACATCATACCTGCTTTGCCTCCTTCAGCAGTGAAATTCTCAAGGCCTCTAACAAAGAGGAAACATATGGGAAAAGGCATTTCCTCAGCTACCTTCTAATCCGCAGGTGCTACCTCTCTGGATATTTTAGCCTACAACTCCCATGATTCCTCATTATTGACTATGCCAGCTAGGGTTGATGGGATTTGTAGGCACAAACATCTGGATAGTGATATATTGCTCACCCCTGCTCATTCTAAAGCACTGAGGGTTTCAAAGATAATTGGGCTCTTTTAATAGTGCTCTCAGTACTCTAAGATTAGAGCTCTTGTAATATGACACAATAATTTACTGGGCTTGCTGCAGGCTGTAATTGCATGGTTGCAGCTCTGTTGCCTTTCATACTTATTTGACATTTACCCAGAGTTTATGAAGCTTGATATGCTCTGTGCTGCAGCTTTCCCTGTTGGATGAGAGGCTGTTTTAATAGCCATGGCAAGACTTAACCCATGCTTCATTTTCTAACAGATGGTACTGTTGAAGCAACTGTTCATCTGGGAACAGTCACAAAATAGATTGCCATTCCAGAATCCTTCTCTAATAGGAAATGCTTTTTAAGTGTAGGGTGCCACTTCAAGAAAATTCATAGCATTGGTGTGAAATGCATATGCAACGGTGCCTTGGATTGAGGCATTGGCCTACCAGTGAATTACGCCACACTTGGGTAGCATTTTATTGTGGATGTGAGGAAGTCGTGAGGGCACAGCCAGGCCCATCACACCCCTTCCTGTACTCTTGCATTGTGTAGGGGTGGAATTAGGTGTGGTGGCAGCAGGGCTGTTAGCTTGCAAACATCCTCATCCTGGGGGCACAGAGTATCCAATTCCATTAAAAAGAGAGTGAGATTCATTCTGTCTTCCATTCTGTCTTCCAACATAGCCTCTTCCCCATACCATTTGCATCAGCAAAGACGTGAGATCAGAAGCGAATGATGATGGAAAAGGGAGGTGTTGCATAAAGGCACCATGGACTGCTGTCCAGTTCTTGTAATTCTGACATTTACTCTTCTTTGGGATATTGAAAAAAGCAATGGAGACAATGCAGTCCATGTCAAGTACTTCCATCCCATGGATTTAACTGGGCCAAGAGAACTGCAGTATGTGATGGGCTTAGGCAAGTGGCAGTCTCTCAGCTTCCCCTTCTCCCATGGGGATAATAATGCTGAGCTGCCTTGCTGGGTTTTTATAACATTTACTAAGAAAATATATGCCAAATACATTATCTTAGTAAATAGGATAATGTACATAATACACTCAAGTATGGTATTGTATTTAAACATCCATACACTCCTAAGAGATCAGAAAGGTTTAAGGTGCTTAACTCATTTCATCCTTATTATGAGCTAACAACAATGAAATTCTAGAATTGCTTTGCTGTCTGATGGAAGATGTAGACATTTTTCTGGTGAATTTTCATTGAAACCTTTATCAAATTCCTCAATATTAGTGTAGAAGTAGGTCAACCAAAAGATCATAAGCATTGTGCTCTTGTGGTTGACCTAATATGAATTACAGAATTTTTATTGTGGTCAACATGACTGACCTTTGAGTGTGCTTTTCCATATCAAAATTTATATGGTAAATATGCCTCTCATCCAATAATAAATGAAGAAGTGCAAGCACTGTTCCTCCTTTATTACAAAGCAAGGGATTTTACATTGCTTGAAATGCATGCTGTTTTTGCCAATAATTGCCTGACAGACTAATGATTTTTAAATTTGTGGCCGTTGATATTGATATTTTCTATTAATATTATCATTATCATCACATTATGTTACATTACACTTACAATTACATCTTGCAAGGAACTCGAAATGGCTTACAAGGTTCTCCTCCTCTGTTTTTCATTCTCACAACAACACTCTGAGGAAGATCAGGCCTCTGCCACTGGGCCACTGAAATCCAGTGAGCACCAGAACCCAGATTTCCCAAGTCCCAATTCAAAGCTCTAACCACTAGGCAACACTAGCTCTCAATACATATATTGCACACCACATCATGTAATTGGTGCTCAAGAAAGCAAAAATCAACAGACATATAAAAGGAAAGCTTTTTATTTAGCTAATATTTAAGTATTTGGAATTTTGTAAAATTATTTCTGTTTTTAAACTTAGTTACAGTATTAGTCTAAAAGAAGGATACTAACCTAGCACATGCAAGCATGCACACATCCACACTGTATTTCTTTTCCATTTAAATTGTAGTGTATAGAAATTTTATTTTGAATTCTCTACACAGGAGGTAGCAAGAAGCCAGCAGCAGGAAATTGTAACAGAAAAAGCAGAATAAGGCCAACTCGATCATCTGGGGTGAGTAGAAACAGCAAAACTGTGGCGATCATTATTGCGGCACTGGTGTAAGCGATACTTTGCAGAGCAATATAAGCACAACAACAGAGTCCTGCCCTGAGGAGTTCACAATCTAAACAGATGGTGGGTCAGTAATGAAGAGGGACAAGTAGCAAATGCGTAGAGAGAGAGAGAAGGCATGGGAGAAACTAGGGTAACAAAGGGTGAGTGCGAGCAGATGCAGTTATGCTCACACACTTTGGACTGATGTCAGTGGGGCACAAAGACTAAAGGCACGAGCCAAAGCCTTTGCAGAAAAAGTAAGGTTAGAGCTGTGGCTTGAAGGACAAGAACTGTGGCAGCATGCAGATGTCCAAGGAAAGAGTTCCAAGCATAGAGGGACAGCGAGGAAGAACCGATGGAAATGTCAAAGCAAGTGTGGGAGAGTGGAGGGTGGCACCATTAAAGGAACTATGGTCACAGGCAAAGATTCGGCAGGATTTGGAGGAAGAGGGAAGCCATGCTTTGTGCTGTGGAAAGCCTTAAAGGTTAGGCCAAAGAGACATTGGATGCAGAGGCGGATGGGAGTCCATGAGGAGGTTGCTGGAGGCAAGGCCTCCAAGGGAGCCATTAGCCCAGCAAAGATCCAGACAAGAATGGGAACCTTATAAGCCCATCGCTAGGCCCTCTTCTTCATGGTCTTCAGCTGGGTCATCTCCTTTCTCCAAATACCAATTCTTGAGTGGACCCTGGTGATACTGGTAGCCAAATGGATGCTGCTGTGGCAATTCTGGGCTTTCCACTGGCTGCCTTCGCTCTTGAGGACTAAGGGGCAAAGGAGGAGAACTGACCATCAAACAGGGCTTGGGAAGGTGTTGGAGAATTTATTGAGGGGCTCACAAGTTGCATTTGTGAAAAAGAGCTCTTCAGGTCGCCTTTGCCCCGCTGGGAATTCCTTCTGGTCTTCAGTTTGAGAAGGATTCTTCATGGAGTCCCAAGCCCACATTTCTCCAGGATCTGAGTCAGATACAGCCCTCTCAAAGGAAAGCCAATGGAGGGGAGTGAAGGAGGGAAGTCTGAACTGGAAGAGGGAAGTCTGAACTGGTCTGAACTGGAAGAGATGTGATTAGTATTTGAATTGAGACAAAACATGTCAACACAACTTAAGATACCATTGGATGTGTCTGGCAAAGTAAGCTCAAAGTTTGAAATACGTTTGTCCTTAAGGAGCTTCGAGGTGCTTCTTTCTTAAAATGAAGAGTTTTTAGCCCCAGGTTACCAACCACCAGGCTTTCTTAGTAGGCTCTGATGTAGCTGGCATGGCACCCATTCACATCTATTCATTGCTGTGCTGCTTCAGCACTTTTGAACCCCAGTACCCAGATACTTTCCTGTTTTTGTTGCCACCACTTTCCATGGTTGACAGGGATTGTGGACTCCACACAACTGGTTTTCTGTGGCTTTGTGGGTAGGACATGTGTGCTCAAGAGGAGTATATATAGGTTTATATTATCCTAACCAGAGTGATAAGGACTCAGCAGCAAATTTCATGGCTGAATAAGGATTTCAACCCAAATTCCCCTAGTCCATCATACATAGGACACATCTCATTCTTTCAGATGTGTGCTGTAGGGTCAAACTAGGAGTGCCTTTACTGGTGGAAAAATAGGATTTCCTCACTGTGGAAGTGCGATTATATTTGTACTCTGAGAAAACGTGGTCTCTTTCCCCTTCCTCTGGACATTATGGATTGTAGTAGTGTATGGGACATCATTGTGCAAGGATCACAAGTGGCTGTTGTGTGATGTATATAATATCACCATCAGTTGAAAATGTGTGGGCATTAGAACTAAAAAGTTATGAACTTTGACATTTGAAATATGGTTCATTAATTCATTTCTGTGCCACTCAATAGCCAAAGCTCTCAGGGCAGTTCACAAAAACATATTGCACAAGTACAGTTATATAAATGGCTAATAATAACATACAATACAAAGAACGTAAGTTTCACTATACAGAATTTAAAACAATTTAAATGACTAAAGCAACTCCAGTGCAAATTGCGCCTTTTAAAAACAGCTGACGTATCTCACCGTATGCCATGCAGTGCCGGGGAACAGAGGTGAGTCTGCACCACTGGCATTGAAAAGGTGACAGAATTGGCACCAGGTGGCCTCAGTGGGGAGATCAATTGGGAGGGCACCACTGAGAAGGCCCTCTTCATTGTTACTACCCTCCAAGCCTCCCTTTGAGGTGGCACTCTCAGGAAGGCTTCAGATGTAGCTTGTAGCAGTCAGAGACATTTCCTTAGGTACTGCAGTTGCAAACTGTATAGGACTCTATAGGTAAAAATTTGCACCCTGAATTTGGCTTGGGAGTAAACAAGCAGCCAGTGCAGGCAAGCCAGAATTGTCCCATTTATTAATCTGGCTGCAGCAGATATGTTGTGAAATGGTTAATATATGCAGGTATATTATACAGGCAACACTCAGACAAACGTATCTTAGCTTAATAATCCAAAATCTAAATGTGTCCATTCTTGACATGCTAGGATCATCCAGAAAATCTTCTGTTAGTCATGGTTTACCATTTCACCAAACTGGAAAACTATGGCTGCCAAGTTCAGAACAAGGCAGAATTTGTGCTTCCCAACAAAAAGCTCCAAGCTAGTAACTGGTGGATCTTTTCTGCCTTTTCCTTCTCCAAAGATTTTCTGCAGTAAGAGAAAAGAAGAGGTGGTGGGAAAACATGAGAAGGCTGTGAGTGGAAAATGATAGTGTGTAGACTGTCCCTAAAATTTCATGAATGAGGTAGCACAGTTGCTCCACAAACTTCCTCTGGAATTCCCTTTAAAGTGCTTTTCAGATGAAATAGGAATGTGCTGATTGAAGACTTCCTGGCTTATCACAGCACACCAAGAGGGGCAGGAAGGAAAGGGGCAGCATAAGGACAGAGAAGATGAACAAAAGACTTGAACTCTGGAGGTCAAGCCATGATGGCCTGAGCTGGACCAGACTGCCAATTTGTAGGAGGCAGTGTATGAATGGGTTTGAGGCTCTGTTGTGTTCAGCAACTGGAGGGCCAACTTTAGTGAGGCTCATTAGCTGGCTGGCCCTTTACACTGTCACACCCATCCGCAATGGCAGGGCAGTGGGGTGGGATGGAAAGAATTGCTTTTCCGAGTACAAGACCAAAGAAGTAACACACTCTCTGCTTGCCGGCCTGTTAGCCATCTGGCCACAACTGCTACAGTTTCATAGGCCTATCCAAGAACTGGCTATTCCTAGCAAAGAGGGAATGCTTGAAATGTTCTGACTAAGCAGAGGAGGGCAAGATTTGGTTGTGGCAGCAGGAGAACCAGGAGCAATACTGAGGGTCTGGTGGAGGGAACCAATGCATGGAGAGTAGCCAATATAGCAGCACTTAGTGACTGATTTCCTCCCCAGCCAATCTATTTGTCAGAATTGCTGTCTTCCTTGAGTATACCGATATGATGAAAAGCATCTCTGGGGCCATACATTTCATTATGATTCTGAACAGATTGAGAGAATCCGGAAGGTACTGATTTTTTTAGTTAAATTAAATGGCCTGATTTTTACATTCATTTTTCCTTTGAAGTGCTTAATTGTACGTGTCTGTCAACATTGATATGTGTTTCAAACCTGAAACAGAGGATTAGTGCAAGTATGAAATAGCTCCATCTTACAGACTGAATGTTAGTCTTTTCCTCTGCAAAGCTGTGAATTCTTATATCTTTCTGTGCTAGTATTAGTGACATTATTGGCCCTCAGGTAAATTATTATAGTATTTAATACTCTGCCATTTAAATATGTTTAATGCACTTGGCAAAATAATGCTTTTGAATAGAAACCACTTTCTGTTGTAAGTGTAGTCATGTATTTACATACAGAGGTCATTTTTCTTGTGTGCACTTGCATTATCATGCTAGTGAATCTGGAGTCTCATTGACTTCTTGCACATTATAGGTTTCATATTATAAACATTAGCTTTCTGCTCCACCTAGTTTCAGAGGGCCATTTACTTGGCAGGTGGAGAATTGTAGGAAGACTTTTTGGGGTGGGGGCATAAAGCTCAGTGTGTTCTTGGGGGCCACAACCAACGCCCTGCACCAGCCAATGCCCAAGTCTAGCCGAGTTGTCAGTCTGGCTAATGGAAAAATAACAAACTATACACATTAAACTCAGGTGGAGCTAAAAAGAAAATACAAATAGAGTATTGGAGGTCATAAGGAGTACCCCAAAATAGGAGAGAACAACATTAGATAAAATCAGGGAAGTTAGGGTTCATTTTCGCTGGAAGCACTGCCACACCACACTGCTGCCACTATAGCAAGACCATGTGATGGCTGCATGTGCAGAAGTCTGCACGCATGCTCTGTGTGCAAGCTGAAGGCAACCCATGTGAAATGCCAGGCTTGAGCACACCCGTGCTCCTCTCCTCCCATACGGCCAAGAGGAGAAACGAATGAGCATGCCCGTGCACCTTGCCTTTAAATTAAATTTTAGTTGGCTCAGCAAGCCAGCTTATTTAGCAGTCATCTAGTTTATTTTAAACCATGGTTCATATGTAATGACAAGCCAGAAATTGAGCAAAGTTAAATGGAATGCTGGTTTATTCCTCACTCCGATTGCATAGAAAAGATCTAGTGTTTCAGATGGAGTCTTCACTCAGATGCTTCCCTGCTCATTCCCACATTTCTAAACCATAACTTCAGTTAGATACAAACCCTCCCACTGAGTTTTTAGATAACCCTGTAAATAGTTGCAGGCCAGCTGGCAGCAGCTTTCAGAAATCTGGTGCTTGCAGAGTTTTCTGCATGTTGTTAGCTGTCGCTGCTCATAGTACAGGACCTCTCATTGTCTGCAGTGACTACCTTGTTAGAACAGGCCAAGCAAATGGAAGAAACAACTTTACTGATCACGTTAATGTAATTTTGCTTTCTTTTTCAATACAAAATCAAATTCACCTGCTCTGGTCTCTCCTCTGTTCTCATTGTCCCT